GAGAGAAATGTTGATGGGACGAACTGAGAAAAAAAGCTTCGTGGAACGAATTGAGAAGTCAATTTGGGACGAACTGAGAGTAAACCGAATGAAATGAGACGGGCCTATATATATACTAATTGTTAATCGTTTTTCAATCAACTATTCAATGTGTCTGACATAATTGGATTAAAAGAATATTGGTGAATACATATATAATCTGAAGTAAAATACCTGACTAAAATACTAAGCGATTTCAAAATAGATCACCATGATGAATTGACAAAAACTTTAACAAGAATGTTTGTGCTTCAGTATATGTAAATTTGTGACTGATAGTATATTAGTTCAGTATTTTAGTCAAGTATTTTAGTTACAGATTATATATTTTCGCTTGATACGATTATGTCAGACACATTGAATAATTGATTGAAAAACGATTAACAATTAGTATATATATAGGCCCGTCTCATTCCATTCGGCTCTTAGTGTAACGCAGCAATCATTCGACTCTTAGCGTAACGTAACGATCATTCGGTCCTGGTAAGTGATCTGTTTTAGGTAGAGATACATTTTACAATATCATATAAAAGTTCATATAACAGTACAGGCTTACGGGAATTTATTGTACGTTTTCTTTGTTTTATGGTTTTTACAGTGCAGAACAATTAGAATTTAGTACCAGTCACTTACGTGGAAAGAGAATATTAATAAGATCACTATTTGAACGGTAATTAAATTTCATGTATTCCTGTGTGACTCTATAATACAAACTGTGTTTGACTTTAGTATGGATAACAAAAAGCAAACACAATACAAATCATCTTTATCCAATGTCAATTTTGACTACCAAAATAAAGTGAGTGAAGGCTTTTCAGGTTAATATATTATTTTCGTAGGAGTCACAAAAATATTAGAGCGTCAATGAGGGAATTTACGACGCTACAGTGGATTTAAATAAGGGACCAATCTCACACTTTGTGTTATTTTTTGTGTTGGTTTTCTTTAATTCTTGTCACAATCGACTGGAGGTACGATGGGTTGATCCCACAAAGACTGATCTTTGCTGGGGGAACCGTGGGAACCTCTAGCTGGTTTTCTTAGGGTTTCTTTGTATCTAATTCTGAACATTTATAAACATTTATAGTGGAAGATTGTGTATAAAATTAGTTTAGAGTTCATTTTGTAAACGAAAATAGATGAAGTAAGACATTAAATGAAAGTGAAGTGTACCCACATATCAGATTTTTGATAGTCAATGGTAATAAACGGAGTTTGAGACAAGAGCAATAACGAAAGTTCTGAGCGTTTCTCAAATAAAGTGGTGAGTTGTTGCCTTTAACTGTTTAAGTAATTAAAAGAGAATTAAAAAGTTAAATAAACTAGGAAATAAAAAGGCAAGTTCAGTTAGATTAGATACGTTTACAATGGATACAACCGGCGAAATGTAACAAAATGGTTTGAACGTTGTTTTGGTAAGCTTTTATTTTTACTCAAAACTAGAAACATTTATTGTATTTTTTGTATAGAAAGAAATCAGTTGATAATTTCTATTTTTTGACTATTTGGGATTCTGAAAAACATGTCTGCAACTGAGAGAATAATAAGACGAAAAAAGAGAGGTAAACAAATACAGTGAAATTCATCGTTTGGAGATAAATTATGATCTGACTTTTCCGGGTTAATGATAAAAGAGTATATGTAAATGTGTGGTGATGAAAGCGACAAACGCCAAAAAAACATTTATTTGTAGATTGCACACATTGTGCTTTGTTGTGATTGATCAGCGTATGAGCGCTTGCCAGATGCTGAATATATTTGTTGCTCGGCTTTTAATGAAGGCGTCTATGGCTTTGACGGTTAGCAAGGAATATTTTTTGAGCATCTGTTACGTAGCCTTATGTTCAGTTATACTTATACTTTGTTTTAGGAGAAATGGATGTTGGAAAGTGAAGTATTGTCCGTAGTTACTTTGGTTTACGAGTATAGAAAAATAAAAATCGGCTTAAAGTGCACAAAAAGGCAGTTAATAGAGACGATGCTAAACTGATCGGTAAACGTAACCTACCGTTGGCTCAGCATCTTTAACAGATTGATCTTCTTTTATTTAGTGCTTGCAGCGGACACAGAACCGTTTAGTCTCTTAGACTTTACTATAACTTTATGGGACAGCAAGAAAATACCGTACGTTTTTATTCCATTCAAACGCGACTTAGGTAGAGTAACTGGAGTTCTAAGGGGTGTAGCTGCCTGTGCGATTCCAAAATCTATAGATAAATCGAAAGCCAAAAAGAAAACGGACGCTTTGGTTGAAAGATTAATTCAATAAAAAAGTTGTTTCGTTGTTATTGTTTTAATTTGTTTTTTAACTGTAGCTTTATTTTATTTTCCATAATGTTAACTACTTTTTATTTTTTTGTTATTCATTATGTCTTTGTAGTTTTCATTAATCAAAACTATTTTCGCACTTTTCTTAAAAAAGCTTTTTATCCGTTCATTTCTTTTGTAGTAAAGTGTAATAAATCCTTTAGACGTTTTGAAGTAAAACTGATGTTGTAGAATAATGATCTTCATTTATTTGTATAAAATAGTGGATCGATAGACCTTACTCGACTGATTTGAGAAGAGGCATAAAAGAGCATGCTTTTGTATGAACTAGGCAAATACTACGAGTGTTTTATTTTATCTGTTGAAAAATCTCGTTTGGTAGCTTTAATTTATTAGCTCATTCGGGGCTTGCTCATCAGAAAATATTTGAGTTTTATACATGATATCTTGATTAATAATCTATTTGCATCTGGTTCTCTCTCGAATGAAAAGAGTTTCACGCCGAAGAAAGAGAAAACCCTGAGATTGAAATCAAGGTTATAAGTAGAAAGTTAAAAATGTTATTGAAATTTTATAAGCAGGATAAAAAGTTGAGGAAAAAAAAGAAAAATTTAAGAAATTGTGAGGTTCTACTCACTCACTTCTCATCTTTATTTAAGAAAGTGAACGGCTATATATAGTACACAAGTTGAACAACAGTTATGCAAGAGTTGCGCATGAGTTACATAAGAACAGAAATAGTTTAGGAAAATCCCATTATGAAGCTAGAATTGCGCAATAACAGAAAGAAACGAAAACGAAAGAATGAAACAAGAGTTGCGCAATAATAGAAAGAAAGGAGAAGAAGAAGAAAACACAGTCTTATGAGCTGCCAGGAATGGCAGATCATAACAGAAATATATATTCTTAAAAACTACAACGCCGGTTATCGAAGAAAGCTTCTTGACTTCTGTAGAGTCATAAGAGATTTTGTGAAGTACTAGACACTGTGCATGGGAAGTCCGTTGCAACAGCGTTTGTCATATTTCCAATTTAGAACAGAAGTTATTTCTTTATATCAGAGTCAGCCCTATATCTCGTCGCTGACGATGTGTTCAGCCTCATCCCGTTAGAAAACTTTCAAGATTTTACAGTAGTCCAAAAATTCCTTGATATTATGTCAGATTGGTGTGTACAAAATGATATTGAATTAAACATAGAGAAATGTTTTTATATGCCGTTTTCAAATTCTAAACCACCAGAAAATTGTCTCAATCTATCTATTAGGAAAATTGCTTTCACTTGATAAAAACATTAAATTACTAGCAATACACCTTTCTTCAGATCTCACTTGGAAACATCACTTAGAAGAAACTTGCAAAAGGTGTAGGTAGATGATAGGTGCGCTAAATCGAACTTTTAAACATGCACCGGAATTTATAAGACTTCATATATACAAAGCATGTATTCTTCCTGTGATGGACTATTGCTCGATTGTTTTTGATAACGATTATAAGACACATTATTAACATCTATTCAAAAGTTAGCTGCACGTATAATCACTAACAACTATCACTCTAATAGTTCTTTTTTTATTCAACAACTGAAGCTACCAGATTTAGAAACTAGACTAACATATTTCAGATTAGCCTTTTTCCACAAAACGATTATAGGACGTACTGCACTATCTGCTTTCTCCATTGTAAAACCTCTAACTACCCGTACATCTAAACGATTTTCAAATCGTTGTGCTTGGGACGCACCAAAATTCAAACGAAAGAACACAAATTCCGCTTTTCTACCTAAAACAATTTCCCAGTGGAACGTATTGCCTAGAGAAGTAATCCCAGTATTCTCAATTCGAGCTTTCAAACGTGCCTTGCGACAGTTGTAATATCAGTAATCATAAGCCACTTTCTTCTCTTTTTTCCTTTTGTTTTATTGTTTACTTTAAAAAATAAAAAAGAAGGTAAAATAACACAATTGGTTGGTGAGTGAAACCGGACCAAGTATTCACAATGTGAAGAATATTGCCGTTCTTCCCATTGACGTCTCATTGTTTTCTCTTCTAATTGTTTTTTGTTTCATTTCATTATACCCACACATCATTGGTTTTTAAAATAAAACGGACTGATGGCTCCAAAATACATTCAACCTGCTCGATATACTAAAAACCGTTACACACTCATCCAATGAAAACCTTGTTTAGATTGGAAACTGAAACAAACTTCTCGGTGTTATTTAATCACGAAAGAACAAATGCGGAGGGAAGAGGAAGAGAAAAATTGGACCGGGGATCCAGTTATTGCTGAAGAAATGCGGCAACAAAGTTCAGGGCTACAGAAGAATGGTTGCTTCGTCTAGTAAGTTTCAGAGCGGTTTAGTTATTTTTGCTAATATGATACTAACCGGTATCTTCACACTACTTCATAATATTTTAGGAGCGAGAGGAGAAAAAAGAAGAAGAACGATGGCGGCACGAGAAGCTGAAAAGAGCGTCAGCGGCTAGAATACAACGATTACGTAAGCACAGAGAAGAGAGAAGAAAGTTGGACCATTTTGTTCAATTCAAAATAGACTTTTCTTTAGGGTCTTGCCAGCGACAAGTACCACATCCAGTACCAGGTGTACTTGTTGAATGAAATGCATTTATTGGCTGATAAAAGTGCCTTCTTTTTGTTTTACATATCTGATCCATACTCTTCTAGTTAATCATGATCGGCTACAAAATAACGTGTATTCTGAATCAACAAACACGCGGAGAAGTTCAAACAAACCTACGGCTAGAATTTGACAGTGATCCTGATAACCGCATGGTTTATATGATTGTCGCTGAAGTAGCTGCAACATCTACACATAGTCGGCATATGATTGTACAAGTTATATACAAGGACGAAATGGTATTTGATCAAAATAAATTACAAAAAGCCTTCGATTTTGGAGGAAAAATTACACGTAAGAAAATTCATTTTAACTGGAAGTTTAATCAGGCTCTCAGAATCAACAGAAAAGTAATTGAATATGGCTCCTTAAACGGCATACCACGTCATGTTGAAGCGCTTTGGAAACAGGTCCAACCATTAGCTGGTTCAACCACTAGCGAAACTAATGACGATCAGGGTAAAAACAAAATGTAAAAACTACGCTTTACACTTTAAGTAGACTTTTGTTCTAAATATTGTAGGTAACCAAACATATAATAATGTATACTCAGCTGTCCGACAACTGGCAAGCACTATTGTGGCTGAATGCGTAAAGCGTACAGAAAAATAAACCATTACTATACTGCTCCTATATAGTTACTCCAGCTGCATTTAACTCAATTCATTTTAATCTTAATTAATTATTGCATTATTTTACTTGCTTATTATAACAAGAAAAAAACAATTAAGTTTTGATTTTTGAACATTTCATTAGTTGCACCATAGTTTTTACATGTAGTGAAAACGTGTGTGAGCGTCGAAAGATTTGGATTTATAGGTAATTTTATATAAAGGATAGAATTAAAACGGTTAAGATAAAAAGTGATTATTGTCAAGATTATAGCCTGTTGCCCAAGACCCACGTGGTCCACATCTTTGTCTCCATTGAGTTTTGTGTTTTCTTCAGACCGAACGAAATGCAAAGTCAGAATTAACCGATGATTATTGATTTATTAGTAAATTTCAAAAACTGGAAAACAAAACGACATTAACAAGACTCAATAAGAATTATGGTATACCGAAAAATGTTAAAAAGAAAAATATTAAATAACTAATATTAAAAATCAATTTAATATTTTTGTGCCTTATTTAAATGTTTTTCTATATGGACTAATGAATCTTTTTCTTGTTGTAAAATACAAACATACTTAACTGTGTTTTAAAAAAAATAAATATTAAATCTGGCGATGATGTTAGTGTTAAATTGACTTTTAATATTAGTTGTTCAATATTTTCCTTTTTAACATGATTCTATAGACCCTAGATACATTCGTTTTCTGTTCATCACGATCGGACCTATATTCTTCCCTTTTCTGTTCACATTATAAATAAAATGACAGATTCTTTTAACGAAGTGTTTAACATTTACCCCTCTTCTTTAAATGATGCTTCTAAAAAATCATACGGTGACCTTTCACAAGGTCAATTAGTTGAATTATTACGACGGCTTAAATCTAAAATGATGTCAACAGATGGAACGATTGTACATTTAAATCATGATATTAAATTGTTGAATGAACGGTGTGTAGATTTACGTCAAACTTACGATCTACAAGCTGGTCTTACGAAGATGAATCAACGCAACAGTTACTCGACCAGTTATCTATTTCGTCTCAACAGCAACTCGTCTCTACTAATTTAATAGACAAATTATCGGCCACAGTTGAGAAGCTACACTCGTCCTTTGAAGTTCAATCTGTACAACAAAGTTTTCAGAAACCATCCGTTACTGCTAAGTTAACGCAATTAAGTTCCATATCACAATCTCTCTCCTCTCATCTAACCATGAACAATCAAAATTAAATCCATCTGTCCCTATTACGATTACTGGTTCGAGTTAGAGCCCTGCAGGTTGATCCTAACCTAACCTAACCTATAGGTTAGGTTAGGATTAGGTTGCTAAAGCTATAGGCTAGGTTAGGTTATAGGTTGTTCTATTTTTTTTTTCAATGGTTAGGTTAGGATTAGGTTGTCGAATCCATAGGTTAGGTTAGGATTAGGTTGTCGAATCCATAGGTTAGGTTAGGATTAGGTTGTGAAATTTTTTATAGGTTAGGTTATAGGTTGCCAAATATTGGCAACCTGCAGGGCTCTGGTTCGAGTATCGTTCGTGATTTGGAACCAGGTAAACTATTTGTGGGCGATAAACACTTTGATATAAAAATTCGTACAAAACATGGCGCTTCAATTAAACAATTAACACATATGGCTAATAATAATTGGATTGATCAACATTTTAATCGTTCATCACACGCTATAATTTCCATCGGTTCAATTGACATGAAACACATTAATTCTGATAAAGCCATAGAGCTTCTTAATCAACTTATTCAAACACTGAAACGTAAACATCAACATATAAAGCCTACA